GAAAGAAAGAAAGAGAAAGAAAGAAAGAAAAGGGCAAATGAGTTAGGGAAAACTTGAATTTCTGTTAAATGTGGGAACTGGTAATGTAGACTTTCACTGTATTAATTCCAAAGGAGAGACTGGGCAATGTTTAAAAACGTAAGTCCTTAGTTCAAAAATGTACTCCTAGTAATGAGAAGGATCAGTTAAATACATACCCATACATATAACAAACTGCATAATATTAAGGGCAAGAGAAAATTTTGAGTTACCAGAGAGAAAAAAACATTACCTACAAAGTAACAACAATTAAATTTAAAAAGTCTTATCAGCAATCCTAAATGATAGAAGACAATAGAATACCTTCAAAGTGCTAGGGGAAAATTACTGTTAATTTACTAATCCCAACTCAGTTAAACTATTATCAAGAATATGATTAAAATAAAGCTATTTGCAGCCAAATACAGAATAAGGGAGTTTACCATTCTCAGAAGCTCATTTTTAAAAATCTATTAAAGTTGTACAACACTTAAGAGAGTTCATCTCCTATATAGTGATAGTGGATGTGGTGTAGTTGAGTGGAGACTAAAAGGATTATTAATATAGTTGATAGTAATGATATGATGAAAAATTCATTCATCTTAACAGCATTGTCTTGAGCAGAGTCATTGCCATCATATATATATATTTTTAAATCCTCACCCAAGGATATTTTTCCTATTCCTTTTCAGAAAGAGTGGAAGGTGGGGAGAGAGAGAGAGAGAGAGAGCACGCATCGATGTGAGAGAGACAGATTGGTTGCCTCTTGCTCGTGCACAGACCAGGGCCTGGGATTGAGCCTGCAACCGAGGTACGTGCCCTTGGCCGGAATTGAACCCAGGACCCTTCGGTCCACGGGCTGACACTCTAACCACTGAGCCAAACCAGCTAGGGCGCCGTCATGTAATCTTTATTCTCTAACCTTCTGGAGCTACCCTAATTTTTGTCCATTTCTTGTCGATGCTATAATTCAGGGTGGGGCAAAAGTAGGTTTACAGTTGTTTGTACGGAAAATAATACAATAATAATACTACCAGACTAAACTCTGTGTTTTGCATACTCACAACTGTAAACCTACTTATGTCCCACCCTGTATTCCTAGTTTCTATTGTTGATAATCTTTCACTATATAAGAGTGTTGGTATAGCTGAAAGATAAGGAGATATGAAAGGGGAGAGGAAAAGGGAAAGGAAAAGCTAGCAGCTCTACTTTCCTTATATAGTTGCAGTTGAGATACAGTCTAAAGTCTCGTGGAACAAGAAATGGAGGTTTAAGTATGTTAAAAATTTTGATGTAACCAATAAAAGAACTAAAGCTTAAAATTATAAAAGTTGGGAGAAGTAGGAAGGGGAAAAGGAGGAAGATATCTCATTAATAAGCTACATCCTCATATTTTCCAACGGGGATTCAGCAGATATTGTATAAACTTGATATATTAACAAATAGGGTTGAAAGAATATTATTTAGAATTATGAAGGTGACCATGAGGAGCCCTGAAATCACAAAGAGTTCAAGTCAGTTGCCTGTGAGAAGCAGGTTTGGGAGTGGGGCAAGATAGACTTCTATTTTTCTTTAAATATTTTCCTGTTACTGTTTGAATTTTAAACCTTATATGTGTTATTAATTTATTAATTTTTAAAGTAGTGAACATTAAAATGGCCTTTCTGCCTTGACTCAGGGATCCCTATAAAAGAATTCTTGACTTCAGTTAGATCTTTGCTTTGGAACGAGAGATCATCTGGAAAAGTCTGGCACATTTCAGTATTACTTTTCTTGCATGTGATGTCTAGTGACTTTAAGAAGATAGAAAACCCCTACATATTTTATCCTGGCACGCAGGCTCTCTATAGTTATGTCCCACATTTGTCTCCCTACATTATCTATTGCCACAGCCCTGTGCATGTTCTCTGCTCTATTTAGCTAGTCTTCTTATCCTGCACACACAGTCATAACTTATTTTAATATTTTTTCAACATTCTCTGATAAACTATGAGCTCCTGCAATGCAGGGTCCATGAAGAGACAATAAATAATTGTTGAATTAATGAATTTGATTGCTATGAGGTTTTCTTTTTTTCTGTCTCTCTAGGACCCTCCTGCCCCCAACTGCTTACCACTTAAATTTCTTTTTCTTCTCTGAATTCCTATCACCAACAACAGCAATGCATTAGTCAGCAAATAGGGTGCTTCATGCTGGGTCTGTGCAGGCCTAGAGAATACAGAAATGAACAAGATGGATGTAGTTGCTATCCAGATATGAAGCAAATAATACACAAATAGTGATCTAATAAAAATTATAAAAGTTCTCCAGAATTGTCTAACTGAATTAACCATCAAATATTTCTGAAGGAGGCACAAAGAAGTTTTCATAGTCTAGATAAAAAGATAAAATATACCATATACATATGTAAAAAAGAGTAAATGTTAAATGTTAAATAACTGATGCAAAAACAATTGCTTAAAGAGACAGAGAAAGCTTTGTTTTTTGTAAGGTTTAGAAATGTGTCAGGGAGGTGAGATATAAGTGGAGAGAAAATGGGGAGAGCTTGATTTTAAGGTAGGGCTGGGGGACAAAAATGGAAGGCAAAAAGCACAGTAATTCAAGCATCGTTGAATTTAATTGAAGTATAAGGTAGTATAGACAGGGAAATATTGGGCCAGAACAGTTTATTTGTGTCCAGTTGTAGAGATTTTTGATTCTGAAAGAAACTTTGAGGGTGAGAATTACAAATCATTTACTTCTTCTGTTTTGGGTTCATAAATGAAAACGTCTGGAATTGAGCTTAGCCTAGAAGGTAAATGTATAAACATATGAGTATACCTGGTATTTGTTCTGTTCTAGATCAGTTCTATTTGGTCATCATTCCTCACATACATGCACTCAACTAGCTACTTAAATCTTAGTACATTGAGAGCACCCAGGAACAAATATTATAATTTTCCTTTTATGAGTAAAAAAACCCTAAGCAACCAGTAGTTGTGTGACTTGTTTTAGGAAAACTTTATAAGCTTGAACATTACTTACAAAAAGTCCAACATTTGCTTGGCAGAGACAGCTGGTTTTCCATCAAAATCCATTGCCTCCCTCTTGCATAACAATAGAGTTTAAGCTTGAATCCCTCTGCCTTGTTAGAGACCACATTTCCTAGACTTCCATGCAGCTAGGCCAGGAACCATTTTCACCAATGAAATGTGAATGGAAGTGATTTGTTTCACATCCTTTCCATTCCTCTTGCTTAAAAGGACATTGCTTAAAAGGACAATGACATGGAAGCATAGATGAGACTGACGAATGTCAGAGGGATGGAGGAGGGTGGGTGGGTGGAGGGGGAGAGAGTAACCAAAGAATTTATATGCATATATGCACAACCCAAGGACACGGACAATGGTGGGGAGAGGAACTGGGCAGGGGGAAGGAATGGGGTAGAACGGGTCATTGGGGAGAAGAAGGGACATTTGTAATATTTTAAACAAAAATAAAATTAAAAATAAAAAAAGGACATTGCAACGCTGTAATTTTTCCCCTTCTAGTTCTTCCTGTGGGCTAAAACCCAGATCGTCCTGCAACCCATCTTCAACCAACTCCCTTAATGACTTGCTGCTCAAAAGGGTGATTTCCTGAGAGCTTGTTAGTACCTTAGACATCATCCCAGACCTACTGATTCAGAATCTGCATTTTAACAAGGTCCCAGGTGATTCACATTCACATTAAACTTGAAAAGCACTGCTTTAGGGGAATGTTGGCCTTTGAACAACCTCATGAAGCACAGCATTGCTCTCCCCACTCATCCATAATTTGCTAGCAATTGAATTGTGAGGCCTCTTTATTATAGCAGCATAGCATTCACCATAATATAATTTGCCTCGTAATTTAGTAGGAAAAAAAGACATAGGAATATTAAAATTATAGGTGCTATAAGAAAGTGTAAATATTTGCTGTTTTTTTTAAAGAATACCTGTGGTAGAATAATGCTTCCCCAAAGATGCCCATGTACTAATTTCTTGAACCTGTGAATGTTACCTTTTATGGCATAGAATCTATTCAAAGGATCTTTGCAGATATGATCAAGTTTTGAATTTTAAGGTGAGAAGAGTATCCTGGATTATCCAGGTGGGACCAATGTAATCAAGAGGGAGGCAGAGGATCATATAGTCCAAGCAGGAACTGTGAGGATGGAAGCGGATGCTGGAGTAGTGCCATTGCTAGAATGGACCATGAGACAAGGAATGTGGACAGCCTCTAGGTTTTAGAAAAAGGTCAGGAATGAATTCTCCATAGAGCCTTCAGAAAGAGTGCAGTCTTGCCAACACCTTGAGGTTAAGGCTGTTCTTAGACTTCTGTATGCCGAAACTGTAAGATGGTAAATTTATGTTGTTTCAGGTCACTAAATTTGTAGTAATTGTTACAGCAACTATAGGAAACTAATACATAGCTCTTCCATTTGGAGCAGCCTATGTCCCATACCCCAATGTGTCTTAATGGCAGACAGGGCCAGGCATTCCTTTTGCTCATCGTTGGCCGATTATATATTCTTGTTTGGGCCATGGAATCTTGAGGGAATGAGGTAGACGCAGAATTAGAAACTACTCATGAAGGTGGTGGCAGGAGTGGTCAGACAGTTCCTGTGACATGACTTTGCCTATGTTCCCTGGTGCCATATCCCTTGGTTCCTATCCAATATCAATGCCTGGTTTGCTGCTTTTCCTATCGATTCTGTTACCTTACCTCTACATTCTACCAATCAATTCCTTCTCTGGTTTCTGTTGTGTATAGCCAAGAGCTTTGATTAATTTAGAGAGCCATGTATTTAGTGTGTGAATATTTCAGTGTGATTCCTCTTTGTATCCACAGCTTCTGTATTGAGTATCTTACACTCAATATATACTTTTTAAATAAGAGGAGCAAACAGCTACAATGTAATGCTACGTGATAGAAAAGGGTAATTGCAGGTGTAGGCTTTAAGTGTACATTAAAGAGCATTAAATGGAGACTTTAAAGTTGGATACAATTTCTGTTGACCATGCAAGAGGGGGCATTCTAAGCAATAAACCGTAGGTAGTTCACTTTCTGATATTTGGCCATTTTTACACTTTATTTATAAACATTCAGGTTAATATATTACCAAAATATTAATTTTTTTAAAGAAGTCAATCTTAAGCAGAAGATTCTATCCATCAGACCCACGTAGATCAGGGCTTAGCGGCGTATGGTACGTGGGGCAAGGCTGCGATCATCCACAGCTCTTGCTGACATCCAGGAAGGCCAGCCATGTAAATTTTCTTCTACCCTTCCTTTCCGTCACCGTCATCACTCCACATCCTCACTTTGCCCCATTTGTCCTAAATTCAGATCCCAAGCCCCCCAATGAGGCTAGAAGTTAGTTGCACCAAAGGGGGAGGGGTGTGCTGAAAACAAACTTGGTCCTATTTACTTTCGCCACAAATGTCCTTAAAGGGAGGGCTAGCCATTTTCATTAATAAGTACGCAGATCAATTTGAGGGGTGGCGCAAGGGCTCTCTCAGCTCTACTACCGGCTATATTAACAACGAAAATCCCCGGCTTGTACGGACCCACCGTTTCGTAACAGGGGAAAACACTTTTTTTAAAAAGCCACAATAATACCAAGTCCCCACTCCACCTGCGGCCAGGCTGGGCGGGGCCAGGCCCACGTGGCCCGCGGGCGCCGCGCGCGCC